GTCATCCTGGATGCCTTGTTGGTCCTCGGGGAATTGCTTATAGACTTGAAAATCATCCACCCGGACAAATATAACATAACCCCAAAGGTAAAATGCAAGGAAATGTCCATGTGAACCATAATTTCCCTCTCTTTGGTGTTCAAAGCCCGCTAGATAGGACAACTGGGCAGGCAGGACCTGGACCTTCAGCTTTGCTGAGCCAACAGTCACAGGCACGAGGATGAAGGTCTTGCAGAGACTCGTGTGACACTGTGTTGGGCTGACCTGCTTTGGCTTGTGCCAGTCCATGCAGCAGCTTCGTGTTTCCTCGGGCTGCAGCAGAGCTGAATCACTCTTGCCACCCTTCTCTTGGTCATCTTCACACCTCCTGGTCTGGCTCACCCAAAGCTGCTGGCTGCCCAGCTCTGGTTGTCCTTTAGAGCAGAAGAAAAGTCCCCAGCCCTCCTCACGGAGTCAGATCAGACGTGCCCTCGAGCGGTGGAGGCTCCTGCACGCAGGAGGGGTTCCTGGCCCTAAACTTGCTCTCTCTTTTCCCAGGTTTTCCACTACCTCTCCCTTTCCATTTTAACCATCTTCCTGGTTGAGGTGGGGTTTAAAGTCTTCATCTACCGCTGGGAGTTCTTCCACCACAAGTTTGAAGTGCTGGATGGGATTGTCGTGGTCGTGTCGTTCATCCTCGATGTTGTCCTCATCTTCCGGGAGCACGAGTTTGAAGCTGTCGGGCTCCTGATCCTCCTGCGGCTGTGGCGGGTGGCCAGGATCATCAACGGTGGGTGTGCAGGGCCAGCCGGGAGCTTCCCCTCGTGCGTGGGCTGGACTTGGCAACTTTACCTGAATTATTTGGGCTCACCTCTTTGTTCCCTTCTCAAAACCATCTGTGAGACGCCGGGGTCTTGCTCTCCCAGTCAACTTTTGCTCATGTGGTTTTTGTTGCTGGAGTGTGGCTTTAATTAGGCTGTTAATTTCTTTGGGGCTGCTTGTGTTGGGGCGATGCCTCGGTGACAGGACACGGTGACTGGAGATGCCTGGCAGCATTGGCACATTCCCCTAAAAACAACCCATAATCTGTCCTTGCATCCGTCCCTCCTGGAGGGGGGTGGCTCATGTCCTCACTTTGCATCGTAGGATCCTTTTGGTGACACGTTAAGAGGGGAGCAGGGTCAACCCCGGCCTTCCCAAATCTTCTTTGATAGCAGAGTAGGTTTTACTGCTCAGATGTTCTGCTGCGACTCCATCTTCCCCTCCAGGGATGCTGCAGGGAACATCCAGATCTTACTCTGGATCTTTCTCACTTGGATTCAAAGCATTTACCCTAAAAAGAGGGAATATAAAGTGTCCCTGGATCAGACTTTACTGACTCTGCTGGTTTAATTGTAAATTGTTGCAAATAGATGTAAATTCAGGCACTTCTGAAATAACCGGAGCTGGAAACTTTCTCTTCCTTCTCTGGGAAAGGATTTTGGGATTTGAAAAATGTGGCAATGAGATTATCCCCAATTCCTGCATGAAACCTCAGCCCGAGTGCTGTCCCGTGCCTACGAGTGCACCTTTGGCGAGTGCTCTGCGCTCGATGCAGCTCGAAGTCTTGTCAGTTGGAATGAGAGGTTGGCTGGGGCCGTGTCCACCCCCTGCAGCCCCTTGCTGCTGTTTTGATGAGGAGAACGTGCCTGATGGTGGCAGTGGCTGGGAAGAGGGAAGAGCAGCTCGCAGCCTTTTTTTTTTAGTTTGGAGTGAAAGTCAGAAACCAGCTTCGTGTGCAGCTGCGTGAGCCACAGGAACCTCAGTGTCTCTTAACATGTGGTTTTACAGCAGAAAAAGTGTTGCATTTACATCTCCTTAACCTCGGGTGCTTCTGGTTTTCCCCTGGAAGCTTCTCACTGTGTCTGCTCACTCGGAGCAAGAGGGGACAAAGAAAACCTGCCCCAAGCTCGGGGTGTTGTGTGTCTGAGCCCGGGCACGGTTCGCTGCCTTCAGTCACTGTTGATGGATGGGGAGCGGGTTACGGGCAGGTGGGGACTGTCCCTGTCCGATGTTATCAATGCAAATAAGCAGCGTCGCTGCTTTGTCTTCAGAGAAATCAACCCCCAAAGCTGCTGCCCGTAGCTCTAGAAACACGGGCACGCGTCAGCGCCCGCCTTCCTCCGTGCTGTTCTGTCAGCAGCCCAGGAGAGCTCTGTGGGGTGGGAAGAACGAGATGTTCTTGATGCTCTTACTGAGATTTTTTCTTTTTATCCCCTTGGAAAAGGGTGGGAAGAAAATGCCTTTGCTCATGTGCAATAACAATATTTCAGTAGAAAAGTGACAGTTCCACTGTGATGAGAAACCACGTGGCCTTACTGCAGCCACGCAAGGTGAAGCCAAAGCCTGAAGGAGCTGATGATGCGTCACGGCCCCGAGCGCTCAGCCCCGGGGTGGGGGACACGATCAGCCCCAGGGCAGGGGACAGGAGCCCTGTGCCCCGGGCTGTGCTGTGCGCTGCTGTTAGAGCAAGGCTCCCAACTACATCAAACCAGCCAAAAAGCAGCCCCTGGTGACAACAAAGCTGCCAGTTACATTCCCCCCAGGCTCTGCCAAGGGAGTGAATTCAAATTCAGGATGTAAATGACAGTCTGAGTGATTAATTCAGCGCAGAGGCCAGGCTGCCTCTTCCCAGCAGAGTATCTCTATCAGAATCCCTGGGGTGACTAATTTAAAACCCTCCTCATTAAGAAAAGCACTTGGGAAGGGTGGTTTGTAGATGACAGAACCAGAGCTCGAGAGGAACACGTTTAACTCCTGGAGTACAGAGCCTGGGTACTGTTAACCTCCTGCTCGTGGCTGGTTTACATTGTAAAACGAATCCACTGCGAATTGTTTCACAGGAATAATTTTATCGGTAAAGACCCGTTCTGAACAACAAGTGTCCAAGCTGAAGCAAGCAAACCTGAAACTCGCCACAAAGGCTGAGCAACTGGAACGCAGCTGTGTAGAGAAGGTAAGAAAACATTTTTCATTTCAAAATGTAATTGAAGTTTACCTACTGGCTGCTCCCCAGGACAAGCTGGCCTGGGATCTTTTTGCAAGGTTGCTGCTGTAAGGTTGGTTTCCTCACCAGAAAGCTGTGGGGTGAGCTGGGCTGAAGAACCACAGCCCTGTCTGGGCTTCCCTGAGCTGCTCACTGCACAGGGACGATGGTTTCCTCTGTCCTACTTGCTTTAGTCCTGTTTTACTGCAGCGTGAGATGCGTTTCGGCGGCGGGAAGATCTGTGGGAAGCTGGGAAACTATTTGAAGGTGAAGAGCTATATGAATGATTTGATTTTTGTCTCTTACAGGAGCAAGAAATAGAGAGGCTTAACAAGATATTAAAACAGCATGGACTCATCAGCGAGCAAAAATAGGAGGCCAGTTTTCCGAGCTGGGGAAGCCTGCGCTGGAGAGTGCAGTGTTGAAACCTACCACTTTGACCTGAAAGGTTTTCCTGGCTTTTTGCTTTCTCTTGTATAGTGTTGTCTAGAAACATTTTCTATTTGACCACATTTTGATTAGATCTTGGGATTGCAGAAATAATTTTGCTGGAAAATTAATGACGCGTATTCCCTACAAACAGTGATTTCATAAGACGTTTATTTTACAGTTGTACAGTCAAAACTGCAAAATAATTTAATAAAGACACACCTTTACAAGCTCTACATCCACGAGAGTCCCACGTATTTTAAATAATTGAATTTTTCTGTAATAATGTTCTTGTTTGCAACATCTTGTAGAATCTGGCAGTACAAATGACAGAGAGTCCGAGCTGAGAAGGTCATTTCTTCTCTACAAGCTGACCATTAGTACATCTCTTCTTTGCCAACCGTTCTTTTCACGTTGTTGGTAGTTTCCTCATTTCTGTTGCTGCTTGTGCCACTTGGTTATTTATATAACATTGATTTTAAAAAATACCAACATACCACTCCTTTAGTTGACAACCAAATCAGCACCAAAATAGAGGCGAACATGTGCCACCTTACGTCAAACGCTGCCTTGTTCTCAGCAGCACATTTGAGTTCCGACACGACTTGAGTTCTCTCAACTCTTTTTTTTTTTTTCCATTTTAAGTGTTGGTTTGCAACCCGCTGGGCTACAAAGTTCTTTCTGCTTCCACAGCTCATAAATCAACACATTAAAAGAATTAGAATATGTAAGAACAGATGTAGGTGAGTGGACTGCTGGGAACAGTTAGACTCCAGAAAAGCCATTAGAAAGCGTATTCTAAAGGACCAGGCTGGTGTTTGAACACAACATGAACTTTTTCCGGTACTAAAAAGTCCCTGTGGTGAGACTATTTTATAGTTGAAGAGTAAGATTCAATAAATTGGAATTTTGAAGGTGTTGACTGTAGCAGGCACCTCCAATTTATTTCAGCCAGAATCAGCTGGAAAGGTCAGTGAGCTTTTTTGGAAAGCATCACTTAACTGTTGGTATTTTTAAAGAAAGGTAATTAATTAGTGGTTTGGGAAAAATAGCTAGAAATACGTGGCTTATTCATCTATGAAAATAGATAAAGCAGAGGCCTTATCTAATAGCACATAATTAATTAACAATTTAGCTCTGCTGTTCACAGGATAATGAAGCTGATTTTCCTTTGGAGCCGTACTGTGTCCCTCTGGTCCTCCCTTCCCCTACCCTGGCAGGCAGGCAGCTCAGAGCAGAGCTACCTCAGAGCATCCCATGTGCTGGAAGGCTGGTGGCCAGCCAGAGCCACCAAGTTCCTACTGCAACCTTTTTTTGACCTCTCAGCAGAGGTATAATTGGGAACTTTCCACTTAATATGGGGGTTTTTTTCTGCCCTAAGGCTTGAGAACCCTCACAAGGGCTCACCCTTTCTCTCTTGGCCTATTTTAACCTACTGTGTCTACAGTTTCAGAGGAACTGATGGCCCATCGCTGTGATGTGACTGGATAAACCTTGCTTCTTTAGGAAATGGACTAAAAATCAGAAAAAGGAGAAATATGGTGCTTTTTTTTTATGCATACTTACCTTAGACAAATGGAAAGAAAAAATCAAAGGGTAACTTGACATTAATGGTAGGCCAAGCTTTATAGCCTGGCTCTGCAGGTGAAGAAACATCAGTGAAAACAACAGAACTTGTTATAGGAATAGTCCTTTCCCTTCCTGAGGGAAGCTGCAATGAAAATACAAATGGGTGTTAGCTTCAGTCCTCTCTTTGTACGACTGCTTTGTTTGCACTGGGTTATATTTTCAGCTGTTATTTGTAAAAAATTGTTTTCATATAAAGTTCCATGTTTCTTTCCATGCATGATGTATAGATTTTTTTTATTGAAGTGTGTTTTGGCAAGCAGCCCACAGTTGTGTTTGTGTTGGAACAGAAACTGTTGGGTGTAATATATTCTAATATGAAGTGTTACCTTTAGATAAAGAGATTAACTGGGTCACTGTCACACAGCTGATACCAAAGCAAAACAAGCCCTTCTTTTTATCTGAAATCCTGGAATTTAATTACATACCTGCTTCAATGTGGTGGTAGTGATTGTTGCTGTAACGTTCACTATTCTGGCTTGTGGATTGACTAAGGATCCGTATTTAGTCCACTTCACCTCTATTTCAAGTGACACTGGTATTTGGCATGAGGTCTGAAAAGCAGTATACATTTTCTCATTGTCTGACTTGTACAGAAGCAACCATATTAATTATTCATCTTATTAACCTGGCAGCATGTCCCCAGAAAGCTTGCTTCAGGAGGTTACCAGAGCAACTACGCCGTGCCTGTGCCCTGGACTGCTGCTGCTGCAGGCAGCACAGGTGCTGGCAGCCGTGGCACAACGGTGTCCCTGCAGTTTCTCCATGGGTGACAAACTGGCTCTGGAACTGCACTTCAGGCAGGACTGTTCTACCTGAGCAGGGCAGGACTTCGGCTCTTAAGTGCTGAGCTGGCTCTTTTCAGTAGGAAGACCTATTTCAGTAATACCACTGAGACAGCAGAAAATCCTTAACTCTGCCAGGGCAGAATTCTGAAGCCTACAATCTTAAATATTTTTAGGTATTTCTTCTTGAACTGTCAAGTTTCTGTTTGCAGAAATGGTTCACTGTTTAGTTGCAAAAGCATGCAAGAAACCTATATACGAGCTGTTACTGAGGGGGTGCTGTCATTCAGCACACCCCAAGCAGCACTGCCTGCCACCAACAGCAGGGCCCACGCTGCATCGGGAGGAAAAGGGCTTGTACAGCAGCTGTTAAGAATAAACGTGCTGTTCAGCTCACTCAAATATATTGTTTCTGTGCTTTAAATAGTTCTTGCTGTCTTGCTCTAACCTGGTATAATAGCACCAGGTAGAAACACTGATTCTGTTACTTCACTCTCTCAGCCTCACCCGTTGCGTGCTTCACGCCATCTAAACAGCAAGAGACTAAACTGTGGCTGGAACTGGCTTGTTTTGTACCTGATGTGTTGCCCTGATCTGTAACTGAGGTGCCTGGATACCAGCTTGATTAAAAGTAAACTCTGTCCTGACAGCAGGAGTGAAACCCCTCGGTTTTTAATATTCCAGGAGAACTTTCCTTCTGTTTGTTACTCCAGTTTTTTTCCCCATAGCTCTGAGAAGCCTAAGCTGATGCTGCAGTACAGGTACAGATCTTGGGAGACAGTAAGGGTGAAGGGGGTGGTGGTAGTGGTGTAATTTTCACCTGTTCTGAGACATGGAGGTGAGTTATTGGCACCCAGTCGAGCACATCCTGGGCTTGAGAATTTCCAAATGAGGCCACGTATTCAGGAAAGCTTTGTCCTTTCAGTAAATCTAGGAGGGTCTCGGCCAAGGGCTGGCATTTCAGAGCTGCTGTAATTCTTCCAGGAAATAAAAAAAGAAAAGATGAATTAAACCAAAATCCATTGATTTGGCACAGTAATATTTTTTCCTTGCTCTCATGCACTGTTCAAGCCTTATAGCTACAGCTGCTAATGTACACCATCTTTTCAAGAGAAAGACCATTGTTAATTAAATGACATTTCTTGTAATTAAATATTCCAATCCCAACACTCCTACAGCTGTATAAATGTCCCAGGAACAGATCCTAATGGAAAGGGTCATCAGAGGGTTAAAAGCACTAAATAATAAAAGAAAAAAGAAATGTCCCCTTACCGTAACTTACAGCCTGATATCATGTTATAACCAAATAAAATCGGGGTTCTGGCTCCCTGTGCTGCCAGACAGTCCTGGTGGGATGTACTTTTCAGAATGGTGAGTTGATTGTATTTGTTAGTATTCTGAATAATGCCAGATGTAACACACAGTTAAAGAGAAATTCAATACTTGAAGTATATCATGAAGAAAAAGAAGCTGTAATCATACCCTTAAAATATATCTGAAAATGCTGCAATAGCTCAAGACTCCCCTCACGCTGGGAAGAAGCACCAGGGCATACAACAAAGGTTTAAATCTACCTCAGTCAAAAGTCCCAGGAGATTGCAGTCAGGACTGAGTCATTCGCTACTTCTAAAACACAGCCAAAAAAGTACACTTTTGGTAAAAAAATAAGATATATTTTCTAGATGTGAAAGTATTTTCTAGAAAGTGTTTGTGAAGATGGACCAGAACAAGTGCTGCAAGCAAACTTTCACCAGGGAAAGGATATCCTTGTGGCCGGAAGCCCGCTCGTATAGGCAGTCCAACAACATAACCAGGATTACCACTGAGAGGAACTGGCTTTGTATTCACCTGCAATCCAAACATCCAGTATTAGTTCTTATCCTGAAGTGGTTGGAAAACACAGAAATATTGCATTGATTTTAGGATTATTAACTGCCTTGAACAATGATAGCAGCAAGATGCTCTGTAAGATCAGAACAGTTCTCTGACACTGAGGTTTTGCTTTCACTGGATACGGTTCTAGAGTGGCCAGATGACTCTTCTGCATGTGAAAAACAGGCTTTGGAGGCCTCTATTGCCCCGTTTTGAAATGCTGCCTCATTTGTGTATCCAGGGCAAGTTACATTTTTACCTTGCTGCTAACAACTGTTCTGATTCGAGTTTAATAAGTTTTGTAATTAAATGTCTTTCGGCAAGTCATCCGTAACATCTCTAGCAGTTACCTGAGTAAAGCTGATTGCAAAGCTCTGCTCTATTGAAAGTGCTGCTTCATTAATTGCCCCCAAGACAAAAGAAGCAGCTGCTTCTATTATTTCTCCTTCGTCCGTGTATGTAATGTGATAACTCACCTGAAAATTAAACATTTTAGATATTAATTAGAACAAATACACGAGTATGAAACTAGAAAAAAAGGAACTTAAATCTATGTAAGTATTTTTTTCTTCCTTCCTTGCTTAAGAAACACTCAACTACATGGTAGAGATATATTATATCTCCTAGAGGCTGGAGCCTCTTCCAAACTGTCTTCTTGATAAACCTCTTCTAAACATAAGACCAATGTTCATCTATTTAAAATGAAAAGATGAGATGATTTGCACTGTGTATTCCTCTGTCTCTGCCACCACTGTGCCTGAAGTCATCTTCTCCCAAGCATAATGTAGATTCTAAACTCATCTTATTGTCTGTTATGTCACATACAGTAATAATAGAAGAGGATTTAATCCTGTCTCCATGTTACATTGCACACAGTTATTATTTTGTTGCAAAACACTCTCTTTTATCCCAAAGTCAGTGTTTCTCCTGTTACATCTGCTTTGGAGATGTCACAATATATGGAAACTGTGCAAGGCCTTTCTCACATCTCTGTAATTTGTGGATCAGAAATTATTTGATGCATACATGCTTTCCATCAAACGTGAGGAGGAAGAGAACTGTCATACCTACCCCAAGAACTATATTTATGCACAGTTCATCCCAAATCATAGGGAGCCTGAGGACATCACTACCATTAAGTAAAGTCTGCGTTCCATTCAGAGACTGGACAACTATGGACTGGACAGTAATATTAACCTGAAAAACAAAATCATGGCATTTCTCAATATTGTATATAATTATTTTTGGCTTTTTCTGTATTATTATATTTGTGACCCTTGCGGGTTCTGTTCCACAGAGACAATAATCCTCTGAACAACTGCTATGTTACATGTATTGCTGAAGTTCACCAAAAGGTTCCATTTTTAAGTAACTGGAGAGAGTTAGTTTAAAAGAGAGAGTTTTATACGAGGGGAATGCATCAGGCTTAAATGTTTGCAGGTAGCATAATAAGCTCTTGGGAGTTGCAAAGTATCATTAGTGATAGCAAATGATAGAATTTTTTTTAATTTAAAGATTAAGGATAAAGTCCCTGTTCTGGTGAAGTCAATGAAAGACTCTTACTGACTATAACTGAGGAGGAATTTTGCCCCCAGCTGTTATTGGAAGGATACTCACCATCTGACTTGATTTGGGCACCTAGAGGAGAACAAGAGAACAAATTCAAACAATAGCAAAGGTAAGACCTACTACAAGTAGCAGTTAAGGCTTAACTGCTCTGCCTGTTTCACTCTCTGTCATTAGAATAACTTTTACATCGTGGAAGTGATGGGTTATACACTGCAGTACCCTGGTAGTGTGAAAATAACTGACATGCTTTGTGGCTAGTAGGCAATATCTTAATAGTCCAAGCCTCCTCTTCCCCTGACAGTAACTGGAAAATGTCTTAGTGGTTTCCATCAGTTTTCCATCAGGCCTGGCTTTGACTACATTCACACACACAGTGCATACAATAAGTAGTAGATGAATCTAGGACGTTTGGACATCCTATTTTCAACTCAGAACTAAGCAATGCTGAAAAAGTTTACTCACATCAGAAAAGTGACCTGAGAAAGCCATCTCAGTTTGGTCTGTTACTGTTATTGTGCGTCATATTGTTTGACCAGATCTGTGCAAAAACACTTGTAACTATTCATAGAGTGCCAGTTTAGGAAGTCTGCCAGGCTGTTTGTACCCAGAGAAATCAAGAGCTTTTGTTGTCTCATTTGGACAATAATGAGCCCATGGTTTCACGGTCTCTAAACAAAGAAATGAGAAGCAAGTATCCCTCTTGTTATACAGCACGTGGACATGCACCATTGCCCCACCAGAAAATATCTACCAAATTTTCCTGGAAAGACAGAAATGTCAGACCAAGGCCTGCAAAATACTCACAGAGAGCACCATTTTCTCAAAGTATTATGTTTATGATTTCCCAATGAGTGTTTGATTCACATCTTTGGGAAGGAATCAATAATTGGACACTGACCATGAAGCAAGTTCTGCAGAATTATGACAGGATACAGTGACCAGTCTGCTCATGCAACATCATGGTAAGGAACACATTCCTATGAGCTGGAGACTGAAGGAGACACAGGTAAAGTCTGTCACACACTGTTGCATATTTATATCAACATCTTGAGGTACAGCTCAGCCATCAGAATCAGTTGTATGAATAAAAGTGCTTGGAAAGATTAGACTTGTCCTTCAGGTAAGCATGTTCTCTCTGACTAGGGTAGAAGCAACGATCACAGCTCCTAAAATTCTATTTATCTGTGACTGGGGTGATGGATTATGTTTCTGTAGGTCACTGGCAGACAGGACTCCAGCCTCACTGCTGCCTCCCACTGACTCATCCTCCCACCAGCCAGGAAGGCAAGCAGGGGCAGGCAGCAGCACGTTGCTTTGGCAGCTGCACAGTCCATGCCAGCCAGAGTATGAGGCAACACAACGTTATGAGTATCTTGGGAGAGGGTTCCAAGCATCCCCAAAGCCCCTTGGGTCTGCTGGACAGAGTGGATGAACTACAGAGATGAACTACAACGATTACCAAGACCTTCCTGTCACTCAAGTTGCCCAGGCTGGCAGTGAGTGTGGGCTCAGAATGATGTTTTCTGAAGGAACTGCTGTCCCAGTCCCTCACCCTTGCTCCCTTTCTAGGTTGATGTGTTTTGCCATTTCTTTTGCCGGCAGCTCCACCTGCTGGCACTTGAACGGCTCCCTGCTCTGCCCTGTGACCACCCTGTCCCCAATACCGAGTCACTTTTCTATTGTCACATCCCATCTTCAGCTGCCTTTGGGAAGAGGAGCTGCCTACAGGCCAGCTCTAGCATCTATTCAGCCTTCTCCAGTTCTTGCATCTGATCCTTCCTGAACATCCAATGTACTCTGGACAGACATCTGACCTCTCCTGAGCGAGGCCATTGGCAAGCAGCACGTGGGTAACATGTTACGTACTGTTCCAACTAAAAAAGGGAATTAATCTTTCAATTCAGAAACATTCAGCTGCTTGGAGCCTGTCCTGAGGCACACCTTTTCTGGTTCTGCAGCCACCAAGAACTCTCATTTTAGGTGCATATGGAAACACTCAAAGCTCTTCTGAGATGGGAGTTTTCTTCCACAGCAGGATGATTAAAAGCCAACATTTGTGAGCAAATTGGCTGATTTCAATGAGGTACTCAATGATCAGGAGAATGATCCCACCTGTGAGAATGCAAACTTCTTAATGGCCTTTCCTTTCCTGTTGATAGCTTTGGAATCAGTGAGGAGACTGGAAGGGGTCTTTAAGCAGTTATTCACTGCAGAGTACTAATTAAATTAATTTAAATAATTATATAAATTAAAAACACCTTTAACAGGGGAGAGTAGGCTGTTTCTTGATGACCTTCAGTGTCTGGAAGGTGCCACCAGGTTAAGGTATTGTGTATTTCAGTTCAATTTTGCATGCATGATTTCTTTGTTTTTCTGAATATCTGTAAAGGGAATTTATTTATACATAAGAGATCATCCTCAAGTTCACAAAAGGAATGAAAAAGTAAGCTTAGCTTTGAAAAATAACCACAAACTGGTTTTGGTAGTAGCCTGGATACAAACAAATTTACTCTCAGTGGGGTAAAAGGTCATGTTTTGTGAGGAGGATAAGGAAGGCTTAGCATGTGTGTGTGATACCTCCCTATTAAAAACTGAGGCTTGTAAGAAAGGTGTGTATGCAGAGGATTAAACCTTACAGGTTCTTCTTTAAGTACAGAGGTTTACCAACTCTTTAAAATGAAAACTCCTTAGAATTATACACCTGGTAATAGGCTTCTTGGAAAAGCTTGAACATGCACAGAAGCATAAAGCTGCTGCCATTGCAGTAAGCACTGGCTCAGTGACACAAGCTTGTCTCTTCATGACCACTATTTTTGTTGGCTGAGCAGAGAACAGTCAATGCTTCTGTCACTGAAGCTTGAAGTAAAGTAATTTCCAAAGGCTTTCTGTATTAAAGTCCCATTGTGTTGGGAGATGGTTTTTTTTTTCCCAACCCACAATTTAAAAAACTAGTTCTGGAGATGTGAAGAGATATATTATATCAACAATCAGTGATATGTTTTAAGTCATACTTACTGCTAAAATGCTGGAGTTGATATAGAACAGCATACTAACTGCTTGAATGTTGCCACATTTTTCCACACTTACTGATCTAGTGCATTTTGTAGCCTGGTTTACTAAAAACCCTGGAAAAAAAATTCACAAAGTATTACTGAATGAAATTAATTATGAAAAGTAGAAATAAAAACCAATATAAGAACCTTGAGTATAAGTAAAAGTAAATGTAATTTCTATTGCAGGTAAGGTTTTATGTGAGCTTTAAAGAATGATACTTTCTTAGAATCTCCAGAAATGCTATGAGATAAAAATATTACTTTTTAACAATAGAAACTTAATAAAAGCTAGAGAAAGATTTGAGATCTCAGAAGATTTTTTTTCTTTCACAAGAGACTTCAGTTTTCCTATGGCCATGATTGTTATGATACCATAATTTAATAATTACAGTGGGTTTTGGAAAATGCAGGTGTGTGCTTTTGGTTGTGGTTGTGGCTTTGGTTTGGTGGGTTTTTTCCCTCCCCCTCTGTGGATTTTCAGGAAACTGTGTGAAAGGTTAAAATGTAGGACTCCAGTCTGCAAGTCTGACTTGAGCTGCATTCAGGCTGTGAAAGGAACCTCATTATGCCAAAGGGACATCTGACAAAGGTTGCCCAACTAGGTCTTGCTTTGTGTAATACTCTCTTCCCTCATGGTGTCAACCTTGTACTATTTTATTAAACCAATTATGCCAAATAGGGTGTTTTATTGTTGGATAAATAAGACTTGCAAGGATTTACATATCTAACTTTGAATATTTAATATAGATGCAATACAGCTTCCAATCTATGCCTAAAAAAAAAAAAGTTCCAGAGAAACAGAAGCTATTTGAAAAACATTTGTTCATGAATCTTTAGCTGAATTTACATTTGTGTGTGTGCCAGTTTACTGACTGATTAATCTCAACTCAGAGCAGAACACTCAAAAGCAAATAAATGACATTTCAAATGCATCCAACCTGCAGGATTTGTATCAGAGCACCAGGAGGAGACAACAGGACTAGGCAGTCTTAGAAATGCATCCACTGTCTGTATAGGAACACCATACTGTCAAATAAAAAAACATAATCAAGCATATGGGTGTGTTTCAGTCCATGGAAAGTTTTAGAGCATTTGTACTAACAATAAATCTGAATAAAATAAGTATTTATTTCCACTATATCCATCAATACTGTATACTACTTTGTGCATCAATTCTTAAGCTACTGCTAGCAGCTTTATCTTTACAATAGTAAAAAAGCTACTTATTTTTCAAAGGTCTTAAAAATCTAGTTGACTTTTTAAGTCAGCTAACACAAAATGCTACACTTATTATTTTTATAATTCTATATTTAAAGACCAAAATAAAGTTTGCCTTTTCCAGAAGAACTGCATTTTTTTAAAAAAGCAGATACAAACAATGCTCACTTGTTCTTTTATGGAACAATCTAATACTAATTGAATCAGATAATTCTTTACCTCGTATCTGTAAGTTTCATTCGCATCAGAAGGATTTTGAGCCTCTGTGTTCACATTCCAGCTGTCAGGTTCAACACTGAAAGTGGAACTTCCATACTGCTTAAGCAACTGATCAAAATTTTCAGAAGTAGGCATTTCAGGGGAACTGAAGGAGAGTGCTTGTTTATCTGTCAAAATATTTTAAAGAATGAGAACTTCCAGGATAAAAGATCCAGAAACAGTACTTAGTAACAGTTTTTCCTTCTGCAGTTGTCAAAAACTCAGAGATAAAAAAATATGAAGACAGTTTTTCTTTAAGAAAAGTTTTCTCTTTTCTTTAAGGAAAACCTTCACAATATATTAATTCATCATTTCACCCAGATCCGAGTTGTCAAAAACTCAGAAAAATATGAAGACAGTTTTTCTTTAAGTTTCCTCTTTTCTTTAAGGAAAACCTAGGCAATATATTAATTCATCATTTCACCCAGATCCACAAAAGCACAAACTTAAACTGAAGGAAAGAGGCAAGTCCCTTTCTTTCAAAATCACATTTTCTAACAGTGCGTGATCCAAAACACAGATCTGACAATTAGTGTCTACAATTTCCATGCTAAGTATTCAGATGACAACTGCACAGTCAGAATTAAATTAAAAGAACACATTACTGACCACTTCTTTCTTCCCTGCAAGTCACTGCAAAGCTGGCTGTAAAGGATTTGTAGCCCTGGTGACTTACATAGTTACAGATCAGGAAGGAGTCAGTTTCTCATGAGATGTGATTTATTTGGGATGCTGAATTCTTTCAACAGGGAAGACTAAGTGCTAGAGTAAGAGAGGTTTTTAACTCTATAGTTTCACAAGTGAAAGTATTACAACATAAGGACTGTGAGTGTACAGAATAACCAGTTTTCTCACAGGTTTACTTTTAATTTTAGGCTGCTTCTGGTAGCTAAAGAACTTACAAAAATAACATCACAGTGCTTAATATTGGCAACAATTCTACTTACAGTTTGTAGAATGAATGCAGAAAACACTGGGATTGACTTGGTCAATTAATTTAGATATCATTTTTGGTGGATTTGCTTCAACATTAAGTGAATATGTGGCAGCTTTCTGACTACACAAACGGCTGTCACCTCTGCAAACAATGATAATAAAATCAATGATCCACTAGAAGTTAGTATTGACCATATTTTAAAGTTCTTGTATTGAGACAGCATAAAAAAAAGCACAAAAGAGATTACTCTTTTTAACACAATTTGTATAGCAATCATGCCTCTTTAGAAGGCTTGTATTGTTTTATACTGTATGCTTAGTAATAGAGAATTCTCCAACATGTTTTGTCGAGCAGAGGAGATAGTGTGAGCAGCAACATGAATAAAGGTAAGAGACAGACCAGGGCCAAGGGAAGAACCTGACAGGAATAATAGTAAAGCTAAAATGGCAAGTTGGATGGGATCCAGATGGTGTGAGACCCCACAAATGTGGGGTGCACCACAGGCTATACACAGAAGCACTTTTATTTATTCAACACAAGTGGGAAGTATGACCTTCAGGGTAACGTGATGGCAAGTAGACCAGAAAAAAGGGCAGTTTTGTGAATGTTGGAATAATATTCACTTTGGGGTGGGAAGCAGGAACAAGTCCTACTTGAGATGCACATAAAAAAAATAGCAGAGTGAGAAACAAGGAGGTGAAATAATCCATCCAGTCAAGGAAAAAATATCTGTAGATGTGCCATGGGTTCATCAACAACAGCCCAGAACTGCAGCAGGCTGCACAGCGAATGTACCAGTTCTTACCCTGAATGAACTGGTGTGTCCTACATCCTCCAAGATGCTGATCCCTGTGAAACTGGGACTCAGCGGGGTTAAAGCACTCAAGGACAGGTACTGAAGAACTTAAATGACTCTTTAAGCATGGAATTAAACTTTTGCAGGAGGTGAACCATTTGTTAGGAGGATCACATCATAAATCAAACACTTTTTTTGGCTGTTTCAGAGACCACAGAGCCTCTTACTTGTGATGAGTCAAACCCTTTCAATCAGTCAAACACAATTATGCAAATGTATACAAATCTAGATGTCAATAATGAGATCCACAGTCATTGAAAATCCCATGGATTTTTCATGCAAAATGAACATTTTACAAGAAAGAATTTGGGGAAAGAAACACAATTTTATGCATTTCTAGTTGACAAAGCCAGAATAGTCACCTGAGAATTAAACTGTCACTCAGGAAGGCGTTGATTAGATCTTTCTGATATATATAGATCTCTATAAATGGGTAGCAGTAGTCACTGTGTGCAAGAACAATAAGAAACAGCAGTCTGGGATGACTGGTAATTCAAATTCCAAAGCACTGAGAATAAACTGCAGTGTTCAGGTTCCCATAATTTATGGGAAGGTGGGTTGAAGAGCTGTACTCGGTGTTCTGAGAAGTCACCAAGAGATTTATTTTTATATCTATTACAATTTTGAAGTGAGCTTTCTGAACTCTTTTTTGAGAAGGTAAAATTGTGTGAAGGTGTTTTCAGAGAAAATGTAAAAAGCAAAGAAACAGCTATTGACATAACTTTATTGATATAAGGTTACATTTCACTGTTTGTAAAGTGATGGACTAGCAGTGAAGGAGCAGGTTGGGATGCTGACTTGTAAAACTAGGAACAGAATGATGCTCACACTACTTCATTAAGCCCTGAATTTATCAAGTTTTTAGGTGATATAATAAACTGTAATGAAAGAGGTTACTGATAAACTGCTGATGACCTATAGAGGTGGCCAGATGGTCCTGTGGTATCAGCTTTTGTAACTTCCAGACACTGCATTATATTGATGTGAGTCTAAAAATGCATTACTCTTCTCCCAGCAGAAGGCATCACCACCTAAACACCCCCAAACAGCAGCACAATGAAAGAGGAGAAAAGCAAGAAGTGTGCATTTAGAAAATGGGGCCTACAAGAAAGCTGGGGAAGGACTTTTCATAAGGACAACTAATGACAAGACAAGGGGAAATGGGTTTAAGCTGAAAGAGGGGAGGTTTAGATTAGATATTAGGGAGAAGTTCCTCACTGTGAGGGTGGTCAGACACTGGAACAGGTTGCCCAAGGAAGTTGTGGCTGCTCCTCCCTGGAAGTGTTGAAGGCCAGGCTGGATGAGGCTTTGAGCAACCTGGTCTAGTGGAAGGTGTCCCTGCTGATGGCAGGGGGGTTGGAACTGGATGATCTTTAAGGTCCCTTCCAACCCAAACCAGTCTGTGATTCTAAAATAGGGAAAAAAGTGATTGAGAAACTGGGGTGGGAGGACAATTTGCTGTTCTACCTCACTGGGGCCAAAAGTTTTCAGGCCTAGTGCAGGAAGGACTGGTGAAAGGGTTGGCAGGAATTAGGGTGGCAGGGGGGAGATGGGTTGGGAACTGGTAAGAGGAGAGGATAGAGCCCTGCAGCAAATAAAACAGGATTTTGTACTTCATATATATCCACTTACGTGACAATAGGAACTGAACATGTAGTAAAGAGGCTGAAGTCGTCTGCGCTGCAATCGGGGTCACAGCAGCAATTGACATCACACTGTGCCACCAGCAGATCACAAACACACAGCTTGGCAACTGGAGGAGAGATTCAAATTAGAATTGGAACTTCAGACACTACAACATGTTCCCTAACACCTTCATTTTTCACCTCGCCTTGTTTTTGACAATGGTCAAAAGTCTGTATCCAAATTCATGTGCTGGTTTTCGGGGTTTTTTTAAAGTCATTTTTAAAAGGCATCTTTTCTGCTACTTGGCAAATCTGTTTGGAATACAATAACAAAACCAAGGCCATACTAAATCTGATGCTGTGTGCCCTGCAAAATCAAAAAACCATCTTGAGTTAATAGGAATGTTGAAGGTATGAAAATATACTCAGCTCTGCAGAAGGAAAAAGAAGTGACACAAACCAAGTATCCTTATCTATTTGTTTCAGCTTATTGGGGTGGGGGAAGAAACACTTTGATAGAGCAGTGATATGTTTACAAGTATTGAGCATGTTCCAGGCTTCAGGAATATATTTTCCTGACATGCCAACATAACCACAGTTGGCTTCTTTGAAATTGCTTTTTTCTCTCTGTCTTTAGATACCATGAAATATGGTAATAATACAGAAAGGAATTGCTAGCAATACTGTAACCTGTCTTGAGAAAATACACTTGGCGACTTCTTAAAACATTCTGAGGTTTTCAGGTTTGTAAATTCAAAGAACAGGTATTACTCTGCAGAACTTTTTAGGAGAGTTGCTGCTCTATAATAAATCCAAAATTAAGAATAGCACAGAATGTAGAAAATGAAGACCAGCACTTCATAGGCAAGACATCCAAAAAGTACTCATTTTCATCACCACTGTTTCTTTTATTTCAACTTGACTGTTGCCCATTTCTCTATGGCCTCCTGGATGTTCTCTGACCATCTGAACAGTATCCAGGTATTTCCTGGAATCTCAGAAGCTCTGACTGTTCTGTTAGCAAAGTTTAGCACTGGAATCCTTAGCTCACCTTGTAAACAAGAGAAGTTTAAACACGGGTGATTAGATTGAGCAGTTATGTTTCTAAGATCAGAGATTTAAGTTTCTTTTTCCCTAAGGAGACATGCACTAGGACAACATGTTTAATTTGGCAAGTAATCAAGGGGAAGTGAACTGATGGGAAATCAAGTTAAATAAAAGTATACCTGCCAATTAGGAGAAAGTGGGAAGCACCTTCTGACAGCACAGTGACAAAAGTTTGTGATCTTTATTGCCATAGCACTATATATCTCCAGAGTTGGGGAGGAATTAGGAGGTTTGGGGCAAACTGTGCATGTCCAGCTCGGTGTGTAAGTAAGTGGAGCACATCCAGGGTGACTCTGGGTCCCCTCTGTGAGGCCTGGCTGTCCTGTGGGCTCACAGCAGGGTGCTGGTGGCCAGGGGAGCCTGTCCTCTGTCACCACTGACTCACAGGACAGCCCATGCTGGGATCAGCATGCACAGTGCCCGAAGGCTGTGTAGCTCTGGCTGAGCCTGCCTTTCTGAGGAGGCTCCGAGCCTGGTTTGCTCAGAGCAGCGCTGCAGCACAGCCCCGGTAAATCCTCGCGGGACCCCCGGGCGAAGCAGCGCAGCTGCCGGGCAGGCCTGTCCCAGCCCCGGGGCGGCTGCAATGAGCGCGGGGGCAAGGAGCCAGCGACGACAGGAGGAGCGAGAAAGGCCGTGAGCGGGGTTTCCCTCAGCCCAGGAAGAGCCGCCGGTGCCCCACTGACCCCGCCTCACCGGGCACCC